TCGGAAGAGAGAATCCTGTAAAACAGATTAAGTGCAGATAATTCCTGTCCTATGCAGTTACTGCTTTCTGTAGCTTTTTAAGCGAGCAAGAAGGTGCTGAGGCTCTGAACGCATGTGGGAAGGGGCTCAGATTCTCTCTGGCGTTTGGGGATTTGCTTTACCGTGCCGTGCTAGCGGCTTTTGCCTGGAGAGACCTCGGTGGTGGAGTTCCCACAGCCGAGCGCTGATTTACTGCCATCTGGATTAGGAGAAATATCACTAAGGAGACATCAGAAGTTAGTCAGCGCCGAAAATCCCAATTCGGTAGCAATTACTCATCCTTTGGGCTGTGCCAGGCGTTTGAGAAATGCACGTGGAGGGGCTTGGAGAGATGCTTGCACATGGGGGGGCTCCATGCGAGTGCGAGCTGGGGCACCCGGTGTGGACCTGAGTGAGGAAAAGGAGCTGTTGGGTTCTTGCCTGTTGTCTGGAATTCCCCGCTTTGGTGTCAACGTGTCCTCGCTGGCGGGACCCTTATTTCACATGGGGTGTTTCTGGTTGTTAACCCCATAAAACCTCCCCTTGCTCAAATGTTGTTGAAGCCCTCGGCAGCTCCGGGTCTGCACCAGGGTGATGCCCGGGCGCTGCTGGTTCTCCCCACCCACCAGGCTGGGCTCTGTGTAGGCCAGCGGTGGGATTAAGGAGAGCAGCCGTCCGGGAGATAAGCAGAAAGCGAGGGAAGGCTTTGGGAAGCATTTCTGGGAGCGAGGAGGAGGAGTGGTGGAGCAGATGTCCTTCTGCTCGCCAAGATGTCTGTCCAGCCGCTTCGCCTGGGCAGGACACCTCGCTCCGCTGCCTCTCCCTGCCCAGCAAAGGGCGTACCTTAAATATTTGTTTCAAAGCTGAGTCACGGTGAGGTTAATGAACTAAATCGCCGGAATCTTTCATGAGCAAAGAAAAACAAGCATGGTTGACATGCTCGCTCCTCAGGCCATTAGCGTGATTATCTCTTAACGATCCCGGTGCGGCATCGTGGTCTCGGACAGTACCGGTGCGTGCGTCGCAGGTGCCCGTGGTCTGATGGCTGGGCTTTCTGGGGGGCTCCCTCCCTGCCCAGCTGGTTTGAAGCCCTGGAGTTGGGTTTTGCAGCGTGCGGAGGGCTCGGACCCAGCCCGGCGTGCCGGTCTTATCGGCCTGGCCCTTTTGTGGCTTTGGCTGCTCCAACAGCCAGCACCAGACACAAACAGGAACAGGAGAAGCGGTCGGGGAATCGGTGATTTCATGTCACCATTTATTTCTTATAACTGGGGCATAATCCTCCCTGAGCAAACAGCTCTGGACAACGTCTGCCAGCACACCCTTCGCTTCGCGTCCTGGAGCGATACCTCCCTGCCCTCGAGGAGCTGAGCTCCGACGGGGGAAGAAATTTTTAAATTTCTTTGCAAATGGGGCAAAGAAAATCAAGGCAGCCCCTCTTGCTCAGGCTGGGAACTTTTTGTGTGTGCGTTTGGGGTTTTTTGTGTGTTTGGGGGGGTTTTTTGCCTGCCTTGCATTCCTTCAGAGGCAAAAGGTCTGGAGAGCTGCGCCGTCCGCGAGCCGCTGCTCTGCTAGGAGAGATCTTGCATCCGAGTGGGAATTTTTTGATGCTGCCCATGTCTGTGTGTCCTCGGGCACGTGAGGAGGAGGCGTGCTTGGGAAAGCAGGCGGCTGGCTGCGAGCCCCTCCGCTTGCCAAAGAGAAAATGTTGCGACGGGGCCAAGGGCTCCGATCCTGCCCAGCGCTGGGTGTGGGATGACCTGTGCTCAGGATGAGCTCGTGGTCCAAGGGACCAGAGTACGCGATGAAGGACTCTGCTCCCTTTTTTTGGGGGGGGTGGAGGGGGCTTTTGCTGCTTCCCCATAGCAAACAGCACGCTTGTCCCTTGGGACCAAGCTGCACGGCTGCCCCAGCAGTGCTGGAGAGGGACCGTGCCGAGGCGGCATTGGCCACGTCGGGGTGGATACAGCAGATCCACAGCTCTGATAAAGAGCACTTATCTCCTTCACGGAAACAGGATTTTCCCTGCTGCCTCTCTTTACAATGGGGAGCTTCATTCGCTCTCCTCCCCCTTCCCTATGAAATCTTTTTTGGTTTTAAAAAGCTTTTCCCCCCAGGATTCCCAGGCAGGACCATGCCAAATATGCGGTGCAGTAAACGACGAGCACATTAATTGCCTATTGCCTTTGTCTTTCGAAATGCAGCTAGCTTCTCCGTGCCTGTAATTCCGTGGTTACCAAAACCCGTGTGATGTCAGGGTTCTCTCCTCAACAGCATCGCTGTGAGAATCGCTTTGGGTTTTTCCCCGGCAGCGTTATTTCCCAATCTGATGGCTGACCAGAGCCGATGCTCTCATTTCTTCCCCAATTTGCTCTCTCCACCTTGCTCCGGTGCTTGAAAGAAGGGGATTTACCCACTTAAAAGCAGAGGTGGATGCCTATAGATCCCGAGCCGTGCTCCGCACCAGCGAGTGCCTGCGACGTCTGTGTTACTGGGTCAAGGCGAGGGAGGAGTTTAGACAAACTTGCACAACTCTTAATAAAATCAGCGCGAGTAACTACTGCGTCCGCTGTAGGGAAGAAAGCCTCTTGTATCTGCTGAATGCTGGAGGGGCTGTAAGAGCAGCTCACGGGTTATAAATACCTCTTCTCTCCTGCCCTTCCCATCCCCAGCTGTTCCAGAAGGAGCAAGTGGATCCTCTCCAGCTAAAACTACAGCAAGTCAATGGAGTTGGTCAAGGACTCATCCAAAGCGCCGGGAAAAACTGTGACGTCCAAGGGCTGGAGCATGACATGGAAGAAATCAACACCCGCTGGAACACCCTCAACAAGAAGGTGAGAGCGTGGCGAGGGGCTGTAACTGGTTTCTGTCAGGCCCATTGGGGTCTGGTAGAAGAAGGGGGGTCATCGAGAGGGAGCTGAGGCTCCGGTGCTGATGCATCACCAGCCTGACCATGCAATGGGGTTGTGTTTGGGGCGCAGGTGGCCCAAAGAGTTGCTCAGCTGCAAGAGGCCCTGTTGCACTGCGGGAAGTTCCAGGATGCCCTGGAGCCGTTGCTGAGCTGGCTGGCGGACACCGAGGAGCTCATCTCCAACCAGAAACCTCCCTCTGCGGAGTACAAGGTGGTGAAAGCCCAGATCCAGGAGCAGAAGGTGGGCAAGCACAGGGCAACCATTGGCTCGATGGGAAGGGGGGCTCTGGGCAGACAGTCAATATTTTGGGGGTCCAGCTGTAACAGATAAGGTGTAGTTGGGATGTCCACAAGCCTGCTTCTTTCACGGTGGATCTTCTGGTTCCCCACATCCTAGCATAATAAACAGGCAGCTCGTTTGCCCACGCTCGCTATCTCCATCGTCTCAGTCCCCAGCGTTACTTTCTCGTCCCACTGCCTCTTGAAGTTTGCTGCTGGTTTTGCTGGTCGGCCGTGTTTTTCCAGCCTTAAGTTTTGTTTGTGCTGGTAATTCTGCTGCGTCAGGAGCAAGCTGGTGGTGTAGGTACCAGTTTGGGTGTTTGGACACAACGAATGTACAAACTGTAAGAACCGACCCGAGGCGTGCCCGGTGTTTGCAGAGATAACAGCCTGCCTCGGCGTCTGCCCTGGTGAGCGGGTGGATGAAAGTTCAAGCGTGGTTGTGGTAAAACGTTTTAGAAATGAATTCTTGCCGAGGCTTGGTCCGACGTATTGAGACTGGAACGAGGAAATTTATTTAATGTGAAAGTTAAAAACTTGATCTTGGTAAGTTTAGGGGGTGGGGTGGGGAAGCCTCTGAAAAGTTCTCCAGCAGAGAAATGCTCCGCATCTCTTTTAGAATAGAATAGAATAGAATACAATAGAATATTTGACTTGGAAGGGACCTACAGCGATCATCTAGTCCAACTGCCTGACCACTTCAGGGCTGACCAAAAGCTGAAGCATATTATTATATTATTTTTATTTTTTTTTAACTGGTTTTGATGGCAGAGGCTGTCCTGCTGGGCTGGCTTTGGTCTCGGCCCCGTGCTTATGGTGATTTTCAGCCACAATTAGAGATTTGCCATCTCTGAGGGCTAGAAGAGGTTCTGCTGATCCAATCTGGTAACTTTTATCCTTCTTCATTTCACTGCTGATGCTAAAGCTGCTCCAGCGACTCCTGGACGATCGCAAAGCCACCGTTGAGATGATCCAAGCGGAGGGAGGGAGGATCGCGCAGTCGGCTGAGCCTGCGGATCGGGAGAAGATCGTCGGCCAGCTGGAGAGCCTGGAGCGCCGCTGGGCAGGGCTGCTGGGCCGGGCGGCCGGCAGGTGAGAGGGTTTGTGCTGCCGGCCAAAATCACGGGGCCAGCTCGTCCTGCGATTCACCATGCCCCGGAGCTTGGGGTTACAACGTGCGGGAAGCTGGCAGAGATTTCTGTGCAGATACATCCTGGAAACATGGAAACAGCTGGAAAACATGAGAAATCAAAGCCTGTTTGGGGAGCTGGAGTTGATAGCGGTGGTGTACAATGGCAGGGAAGAGCTCAGATTAAATAAATTCCCTGCAGGGGATGGATGTTATTTTTATTCCTTTAAGCATTAATATTTAGCTTTAGCGGCAACATCCTGTTGACACCTTTCTGCCGCCTGAATCTCATTTATGAGTTGCTTGTTGCCACTTAAGCTAACATTTGGGGCTAGAAAGTCACTTCTGAGGGCCAGATTTGACCTCCCGGTGATCTAAATCACTGCTGACCAGATGGACTGTCCATCTAGGACTTGTCCCGGTGCCGGGCTGTCAATGAACAGAAGCTCAGCAGCTCTGAAACACCAAGGGCCCGACCACAAGCTGAGCACGTCAGAGGATCTCTGAGATAGCAATAGGAACGGAAAAGAAAGCAGTGCAACGGGGGGGGGGGGCTTTCTGCTGCATTCCCCAGGGGGTGAACTGGACCCTAAAGGCACAGCTGCAGGAAAAAGCTGATTTTGCAATTGCCCTTGAACGGGGCTGCTTCGGTTCCCTCTTCCCATCCCTTGGAGCTGCTTCTCATGCCTGGCTCCGACAGGGAGCTGCTCCTTAGTGGTTGATTGTGTCCTCACTATAGGCAGAAGCAGCTGGAGGACATCTTGGTCCTGGCAAAGCAGTTCCACGAAACCACGGAGCCCGTGTCGGACTGGCTGTCGGTGACGGAGAAGAAACTGGCCAACTCGGAGCCCATCGGTACCCAGACTGCCAAAATCCAGCAGCAGATCAGTCGGCACAAGGTAGGGCTCGTGCATGACGGGGAGCTGCCGATGGAGGTGGTTGGTCTCAGGTCCCACTCGGGCGGTTGTTTCTGCCACAGCAAGGGGTTTTTTGGCACGAACAAGCACCGAAGGAGTTCTCCAGGCTGCAAACCCGAACCCACCGGTGTGGGTAAATGTTAAGCTGATGTCTTTGCACCTCACACCGAACGTGTCTGGCTCTGGATAGAAAAACCATTCCTGTTCTTGTGTTTCTTTTAAACCTTTTTTATTTTAATGCAGTTTGGCCATTCACGGCTGGGTTTCGTGTCTCCTTCGTTCCTTCAGTTGCATTCATTGTTTCTGTTTCCCCTTTTATGTTTTGGTTTGGTTGGTTGTTTGGTTTGGTTTTGGTTTTTTTAATCCATTTTTTCCACTCATTTTCCTTTCTGTTGTCCATTTTATCCTCCCGGCATTCAGGCTCTAGAGGAAGAGATAGAGAGCCACGCGGCCAACGTGTCTCAGGCGGTCGGTGTCGGGCAGTCCCTCTCCTCCCTGAGCTGTGCCGCTGAGCGGAGGCTGCTGGCAGAGAAGCTTGACTCTCTGCAGACCCGCTACGGCGAGGTCCACAACCGGTGCTGCCGGAAGGCAGCGCTGCTGGATCAGGCGCTGGCTAACGCCAGGCTCTTTGGGGAGGAGGAGGTGGAAGTGCTCAACTGGCTGGCTGAGGTTGAGGACAAGCTCGGCTCGGTATCCGTAAAGGATTACAAACAGGACGTCCTGCAGAAGCAGCATGCCGACCAGCTGGTATTTTCCATTTTCTTCCATGTTTATGTTGTTTATTTTGTTGCATTTAGCTGGTTTTATTTTTGTTTCTGGTCTGACTTTAATTTTGCAAAGCTTGTTCCGCTGCTGGTCCTCTTCTAGGCTTGGAGAAGCGTAAAGAGATTTCATGTGTTACAAACAATAATCGTGGCCCCAAAAACGGGTTTCCCCGGGGAGAAACTTCAAATGGTTCATTTGCTTTGTGAACAACGTCTGAGCAAGCTTGGCCACCCCATGCCTTTAGAAAGCTGGATGCAGTTTCCAAGAATGAAAGCTTAAAAAGCTTGGTGGGCTTTCCGAGCCAGGCTGGCCACCGAGGAAGCCGTCTGCTTCCACTCCGCGGGGGCCAAGCGAGCTCTTTTAAAGAGTGAGGTTATGTCTAACGCAAGGGCGAGTTCTTCAGTAACACACATCCGATGGGTTGGGATGGGTTTGCTCTAAGATTTGAGCCTTTGGGTCCCAGAAGCCCCAAAAAGTCCCGTAGCGGGAGAAGGTTGAGTGAACAAGTATCAGATCCGTTGTCCATCCTTCCCGTGCTCAGTAGGAGCAGTCTGGGCTCTGCTTAGCATCTCTGGCCAGCACTGGCCAGCAGGGCTCGGGGACCTGCCCGCAGGAGAATAACCCCAATTTGCCTTTCTCTCCAGGCTTTGAATGAGGAAATTGTGAACAGGAAGAAGAATGTGGACCAAGCCATCAGAAACGGGCAAGCTCTTCTGAAGCAAACCACAGGTAACACGAAGAGCTGGGCACACTCTGGCCCATGCCGGGGGTCTGGGAAGCCCCCTGTCCTCCACATGGTCCTCCTGGAACCCAACCCATCCCATGCTTTGCAGCGTTACATTGTTCGGGGGAGGCTGTTCTCCCTCAGGTCTTAATTTCCCTTTGGATATTCCCAAAGTAGCTGTTTTGCATCCAGACCTGGGTGCCGAGCCACAAGCACTCCGGCTTAGTAAATCCCGAGTGCCAACCTCGCGTCTTTGCGAGCGGGTGATTCCCACCGCCGGCGTGGTGATGCTCAGCACCGAGCAGCCCTGCAACGCAAGGGAGGGTTTTCTCATTGCATCCAGCTGCTAAATCACATGGAAAGAGGTTAAAAATACACCCAGCCCTTTCCTAATATCGCTTTCCCATACTGAGCAGTTGTTGCTGTTGCCACGTGGGTGTGAGTTTATGTTTGTGAGTGGGAAGAAAGGTCGGGGCGATGCATTTCCTTCAGATGTGATCTGCTCAGAGCAGATGGACAGGCCTCCGTCCTTGTGGGAGCCATGTAGCAGGAAGAGTGATTACAAAGGACTTGGCTTGCGGTTTCTTGTCCTGTCGGAAATAGCAGTAAAGAGCGAACGGGGCCTTTGCTCTCGGAGCTGCGACACCTTCGTGGAGAGCTGAGTTGTGGTGGCTTTGGGGCTTGTGGCAAAGCCAGGCTTCGCAGCACGCTTCCATCCCCTTCCAGGGAGGAGGTGGACTTACGCTGGCTGGTAGAAGGTGCCAGCTCTAAGAGTAGTTTCCTGGCTGTAAAAACAGGCTGTGAAGTTGCATTGACATGGACAAAAGTGAGACCAAAATTAGCTATTTAAAATGGGGGGGAGCAGGGTGGGTGGCTGCTTAAACCTTCTCGCAGCCGCCCCCGGCCAGCATCATTTGCCCCTCGCTGTTGTCTCGCAGGGGAGGAGGTGTTGCTGATCCAGGAGAAGCTGGATGGAATTAAGACCCGCTATTCGGACATCACCGCTGCCAGCTCCAAGGCGCTGCGCACACTGGAGCAGGCTCGGCAGTTGGCCACCAAGTTCCAGTCCACACACGAGGAGCTCACCGGCTGGATGAGCAAAGTGGAGGACGAGCTGGCTTCCAGCGGGGGACAGTCCCCCGCTGGCGAGCAGATACCCCAGTTCCAGCAGAGGCAAAAGGTGGGAGCTGGCAGAGCGGCACCCGGGGGACGGGGACGCGAGGGTGGGAACCGGCGGGGGTTTGCTCGCTGTTTGGAGAGGCTGGGGAGGAGCTGGAGAGGGACGTCACCTGCAGGGCACTGAGAAGGACACGTGTCTGTGGGTGCCTTCCACAGGAGCTGAAGAAGGAGGTGATGGAGCACCGGCTCATCCTGGACACGGTGAACGAGGTGAGCCGAGCTCTCTTGGAGCTGGTTCCCTGGCGAGCCCGCGAGGGGCTGGATAAACTCGTGTCGGACACCAATGAGCGCTACAAGCTGGTCAGTGACACCGTCAAGCAGAGGGTGGAAGAAATCGATGCTGCTATTCAGAGGTCTCAACAGGTAATTTAATAACCCCACCAGAGGGTTTCTCAGCAGAGCTCCAGCCCATGCAGCGCAGTGGTGGCGGGAGGGATAGCAAGCACAGCCCAACGGGAGGGCTGGATCCCATCGGGAATGCCAAGAAGTGGCTCCACCAGGGGCGTGTGGCAGCTGGGCTCGTTTCTGACCCGTCCCGTTGCATGTGGTTTGGACAGGACAACGCTGGGGCAGCGCCGTGTTATCCTGCCTGCTGGCTTTTGCTTGCGTGGGTGAAGTAGACGGTGTAAAACCGCCGACAGGCGACTTTCAAGCCTGGAGAATGTCATCCCCTGTTGTGATAGCACAGGATTTGTTCCAGGCGAACAGTCCTCTCAAAAAAAAAAAAAAAAGGCTCGTTCTGCACGGACTGGAGGCCGTGGAGCACTGGCAGTAACTGGCTTTGACTCCACCGAGCTGAACGTGCGGGCCAAATGATTGTGTGCAGTAGAGGTGTCCCTTTGCCGGTGAGCAGGGAGGGTGTGCAGGAAGGTGGTCGCTCCACCATGCTCCGCTGCGCCGAGCGCCTGCGGTGCAGCGATGCTCCGTGCCCTGAAACCAGCTGGGTGCGGGAGAGCGGCTGCTGCTCTTCTCGGAGGAGGCAGAAACCTGTGCCCACACCCGTGTCCCCTTCTCCTCCTCGCCCGGGTGAG